GGGGCTGGTGAGATGGCTCAGTGGTCTAAAGCACCTACTTAGAACAAGCTAAGCTAAGCAAAGCACAGGGACCGCGGTTCAATCCCCCAGCACCACATGCCAGCCAGCCCCGCCCCCTGGTGGACTGAGCTGGCCACACACACACACAAAATAAAATAAATAAACAAAAACAAACAAAAAAAGGCATGAGTAACTGGTCTGATACTTATTGAAGACTTGAAAATAAGACTGTTCAAGCTTAGAGTCCTTGAACTGTGTGTTTTGTTTAAAATTATTATAATACAGGTACTTCTTGTTTTCTATAGTGACAAGATGGATCATTGCACCACCCGATTATGTACTCTTTATGAAACATACTATTTGGAGCATTTAGCTTTGTTTTATAGCTAAATGTCATGTTGTCAATTAAAGTTTTTTTTAAAAATTTTTATTTATTTGTGTGTGTGTGTGTGTGGCCAGCTCAGCCCACCAGGGGGTGGGGCTGGCTGGCATGTGGTGCTGGAGGATTGAACCCTGGACCCTGTGCTTTGCTAAGCTTGTTCTAAGTAGGTGCTTTAGACCACTGAGCCATCTCACCAGCCCTCAATTAAAGTTTTGACCTTCAGCTAAGGTCTTAAATTTTCCATATTGAAATTAATATATGCAAATAGTTACTATACTGTTTCAGTATTATATTCATAGGAAAATAATGTCTCTATTACTCTTCCTTCCACTACATTATACTGTCTATAAAACTGTACTTTTGATTTCTGTGTTTTCCTTCACTTGATATTTAGTATCATTTACATTTTTTATTTTTTTTGAACTGGGGATGGAACTCGGCCTCACGCTTGCCATGGAAGTGCTTATTCCACTGAGCCATCTCCCCGGCCCATCATTTACATTTTAATCATGTGTTTATTTCTGTTGCAGCAGGAAGAATGATACAAAAATCAACAAGCCTCAGTATGTACTACAAATGTGGCAAGAAGAGAACAAGGGCTGCTGATCATGATTGAATTTGGGGTTTCATGCTGGAAGAAAAGTCATTTTAAACTCTGTTATCTTATTTCTAATAAGTATCTCTCCTTGGGAAATTTTCAAGAAAGGTAAATTACATTGAATTATGTTTGGTTTTTTTTTGGTTCAGAAAATCTTGGTTTCTCAAATCTTAAAAGAGAAATAAGATTTGAGAAATCTTTTTCTAGAGTCATTACTGCCCAGCACTAATGTTCTTGATTCTAAAGTGATTTGAGATGCTAAGTAAATTTCCTGCTCCCCTTGCAAATAGTTTCCATGTGACAATGTAGGCTTTATATTTGTAGGAAAAACAGAAATCTGCTACAGTTTTTTTTTTCATTTAAAAAATTTTCCTTTTAATTTGAAGTTTCCCTAAATATGGTTCAGTGCTTTGTTTCCCTTTATATATGATGTTTAATTTTTACTTCTAGAAACCACCTTTATTCTTTATATTTGTGATTTTTATTTCTTGTTGAAAAATTAGGACATCTGGATAAAAGATCCGGAATCTGCTCAGAGTTATTTATAGTGTGGCTTTTAAAGAGATCTGTCTGGTATACTTCAAGCTGTGTCTACTTTGGTGTACAGATATCAGTTCCCTATTTGCTTCAAGCAGGAAATCAGGGTCTTTCCTTGTATAATTCCTAAAGTTTTTTTTTAATCCATTTATTTATTTATTTGGTACAGGGTCTCGCTATGCAGCTTGGACTCCTAGAGATCCTCCTGTCTCAGGCTCTCCAGAGCTGGGATTACAGGTGTGCGCCATCACACCCAGTTTCGGTGGCTGACTCTGCACGAGACTGGCCTGGCATGTGGTACCAGGGATCGAACCCAGATTCTTGCGCTTGTCAGGCAGGTGCTGAGACCACCGAGCCGTCTCCCTGGACCTAATTCCTCAAAATTAAGGGAAGAAGAAGTCTCTATCTCTGAGGGACTTTGTGGATCACTGCCTGTAGCCCTTTGGTTCCTTTTGTTTTGGATTTGCAGCCCTTCCCGTCCTTCTATACCACTGATCACTCCTGTGTTGCTGCTTGCTGACCCTGAACCACAATAACTTTCTCCACACAGCTGGAGTCCACACAGCTCACAGACCACAACTGTGTGTGGTACAGCTAAATTCCCCTTTTTTTTTTTTTTTTTTTTTTCTGTAACTGGGGATTGAACTCAGGCCCTTGTGCTTGCCAGGCAAGCGCTTATTCTACTGAGCCATCTCCCCAGCCCCTAAATTCCCATATTGCATCATCTTTAGTGGTAAAACCACTGACCATTAGGGAAAGCTATGATTTTTATGGCCAACTCTTTTTTTTTTTTGTGGAACCGTATGGCCAACTCTTTGAGAGGAATTTTATTACCAGAAAATTTGGGATACTGGTGACAGAATTATTCGTTATTTTACAGTGATTCCCTTCTTAGAATTTTGTCACTTCAGCATGGGTGTGTGCCTTTCTATTGGAGAGGAACATTGTTGAGGGGGCAGTAAAGTATCTTTTTTTTTTTTTTTTTGCGGAACCGGGGATTGAACTCAGGCCCTTGGGCTTGCCAAGGAAGGGCTTATTCCACTGAGCTATCTCCCTGGCCTCCTTAAAGTATCTTTTATACTTAATGGCGTTTGTCCTTCCTGCCCCTTCCCTCTGAATCAGGTAGGGGGCCTCTAGCATAGTAAGACAATAGCTTTACCAATGATCCACAGTTTCATTTTATTTTTTTTTTGCGGAACCAGGGATTGAACTCAGGCCCTTGCGCTTGCCAGGGAAGTGCTTATTCCACTGAGCCATCTCCCTGGCCCCGTTCCACAGTTTTAGCTCTTACTCTTCTTTCAGAAGAGAAATTTAAAAAAAAAAAGGAACTTTTGGGGCCAGGGAGATAGCTCAGTGGCATAAGCACCTGCCTGGTAAGCTCAAGGTCTGAGTTCAGTCTCCAGTACCACAAATGACAAGGGAACTTTTTTTTTTTTTATTTTTTTTT